ACTAAAATAAAAGTTTAACAAATGCAACATTTCTTTGTTTTAATACATTACTGATGTTTTTAAGTAATTTCATTAATTATTATAAATTATTTTTGCACCAATTTTTTCACAAACTTGGTGAATTGGAACAAAACACACGTAGCTGACATACCAAAAATTGGTTAAAAAACAAAGAAAAAGCAACAATTGACGTAAATAAAATACATCACGTGCAATATACATACATACATACATATATAAATTCTATTTAATCATGCCAAAAAAATTAAAAAAATAAAATAAATTACAAGATTGAGCAAAATTGGAACAAATTTCAAGGGCGTTCGGCAAAAAAATTAAAGGTTTTAGAATGTAGAACTTTTGATTTGCGCATATGATGTATGCAAAAGTATATATTAATTATAGTAATTTGCATATACATATGTAGAGATAAAAAAATGTACTTACTCACTTTTTATGTGATTAACGTGAGGTCAAAAACATAAAAAGTTTTAAATTATTTACAACTTTAATTTTGAAAGCATTCGATGCGTCATTAGGATGCATATCATATACACCAAATAAATTAAAAAAAAAAATAATAATAAATAAATAAAATTTATGACTGAAAAAACAGGCATTTCACTTTTAATTCTTAACCATCGTATGATATTTCTACTAACAAAGTTAGGTTAGTTTCGACTCGCTACCGATGAAAAGGCAGCGATTGCGCTTAGATCAAAATGAGACCCAATGAGACAATTTCGTAAGCAATAATATACGCTTTTCAATTGGTGCGCCTTATTTTGTGTGCCTTCTCTAGCTGAATTACCTGAACGTCAACTCTTGGAAAAGGTTACGTCATTAAGGGGAAGTAGTAATGAAAATGCTCAGAGCGGAGCAATCATGAAGAAAATGAGTGATTTTTTTCCACCTCATCGTAGTTTTTAGAGCCCCCTGTGGCTTTTATTTACAAGAGACTTCAGTGGTCTACGAGAACTATTATTGCTTTGAATATGAATGTATTATTAGAGTTTTCCAATTGATCTTCTCTCATTTCATTTATTATAGTATCCATACACTTACGGCAAGTCATTGAGTGATTTCAACTTAACCAACACAACTCATATGCAATTCCCTTGAGGAGCAGTTTTCGTTTAGTCAAAAGAAGTCGTTTAGTACTTCTTCACTAGTTTGATATCCAAGATTGCCAATAATCTCTTCTGAAAATTTAGTCTTAGTCCGCGGGCCTGAATGAGTACAGTTCAAAACCGATAGGATTATAGCAAGAATTTTGTATTTTCTCGTAAATAAAACTAATTTCGCTTTATTTAAGTTTACCCATAGTCCACAAGAGATATACCAGTTCGATACATTTCGAAGGGTCTCCTTCTCTATATGATAAAGCGACTTCATCGATGTAGGAAACAACTCGGCTATCCACCTATCATTTACAGTTGAGAATAGGTTCGCTATGATGTTCTAGAGCAACGGAGAGGGAAGAGTGCCTCTATTTACAAATCTTGATACTCACACCCAAGCCGGCTTGCGGTGCTTATACTACTTAAGTGCAGCTGAGTACTCAACTCTCAATTAAGGAAATGTTGACGTCTAAGCTTTCTAAGAAAGCTTTTTCTACACTTGATAAGGTATTGTTAAAGATTCCTCTTTATTTTCAATGGTTCGAGAATGTAAGTTCATTATGAAACTCGTTTGAAGTTTTTTTTTTTACATATCTGCTTCGAAAGTCTTTTCTGGTTTGGGAAATGACGACTACATGCCACGGTTTTTGTGGTATCTGGCTGAATTTTAAATATTTTGACCCTGAATTCTAATCTAATTCGCAGTTGTGCAGGGATAACATCATCTGAACCAGGTGCCTTACATAAGCCGAAGATTGTTAAAGCAATGATTATCATATCATTTGGAATATTTTTCCTGTTCGTGAGTTCGCGTTGAAGTGGAAGTTCTTCCTTTGAAGAGAATTAAATGGATTTCAAGCAATTGCATAACTGGTGCATACACCATTGTCTGAATATTACTACACTTTTCCCTATTTGAACCTTTAAGTCGTCGTTAGATCCTTCTTATATATTCTCAACCCGGCTGCATATAATGCACAGATTTTTTCCATAAGTTTCCATTGAAATTTTCCTTTTTCTATTTTTCAATTGCATAAAAGGACTCATACACGCACATTGTAATATACAAAGCATTAACTAATTATATCCGAAATTGAATTCTATTTTTCACGTGCCAAAGAAAATTACAGTTATTACCTTTGAAATTTATCTATTGAAATTTAGAGGGAAAAAATTTATATAAACAAACTTAATTACCCATTTGAGAATTTGGAAAATGTAGTTAAAATATCTGTATTAGTAATTTATAATATACAAACATATAGACGCATTATATTCTTACTTAATTACTTTTCACATTAACGTGAGCAATAAACATTAACTTCGAAAAACAACAATAGTTTAAAAACATTTTATTTCCATTGCATGTGTTACACTTTCGAGTCGATAATTAAATTGTTATATAAAGTCATTTAAACAGATAAATGCCAAAGATTACACTATTAAAAATGTTAAATGAAACACAAAATCGAATACAAAAATCTTAATAAAAAAAGAAGTAAATAAAACAAAATAAAAAAGGAATGAAATAAAAAAAAAAATTTTTTTAAATAAGAAAAAAATTAAATAGAACAAAATAAAATAATTCAACATAAAAAAAGTAAAAAAAAAAATTATTTAAAAGTAAGATATACATAAATAAAATAAAATAAAAACAAAATAAAATGAAATAAAAAATAAAATACAAACAAAACTAAATGAAATAAAATAAAAGGCATTAAATAAATTAAAAATTATTGAATTGTGATGATAAAAAATTAATAAAATTAAATAAAATAAAATAAAAAAAAATAAAATAAAATAAAATAAAATAAAATAAAATAAAATAAAATAAAATAAAATAAAATAAAATAAAATAAAATGAAATGAAATGAAATGAAATGAAATGAAATAAAATAAAATGAAATAAAATAAAACATTAAAAAATTAAAGTTAATTGAAATATGATGATAAAAAAATGAAATACAGCAAAACTAAAGAAAATATTTAAAAATAAGAAATAAATAAAATAAAATAAAAGGAAATACAATTTGTCAAAATAAAATATAACAAAGAAACATTTAAAAAAATATATATTTATAAATAAGAAATAAATATAATAAAATAAAAAAAAAATTAAATAAATAAAAATAAAATATTATTACATAAAAGCAAAAAAAGAATTATTTGAAAATAAAAAATAAATAAATAAAATTAAAAAAAAACAACACAAAATAAAAATAAAATGTATCAAATAAAATATAACAAAAAAATATTTCAAAAAATATATCATATATTTGAAAATAAGAAATAAATAAAATAAAATAAAATGAATAAAAATAAAATATTATTACATGAAATCAAAAAAAAATATTATTTGAAAATAAGGAATAAATAAAAAAAATTAAAAAAATAAAACAAAATAAAATAAAATGTATCAAATAAAATATAACAAAATTAAATTAAATTAGAGACCATAAAATTAAACAGTAAATAAATTAAAACTAATTGAAAAAGTATGATAAAAAACTACGTAAAGCAAAACTAAAATAATGGAAGTTATTTAAATAAAATAAAATTGAATATAGCAAAATTAAATGGATTTAAATTAAATAAGAATTACTATTTACATTAATTTTGTTTAATAAACAGAAAAGTTAAGAAGTTTATTTTTTTCACTTGCACTAATCTTGTTTTTTCCATGTTAGCGTACCACTTTCTTAATGCCATTGATTATTGAAATAAAATTCCCCACAGTTTCCAGCAGGTGTAAACTCAACTACACTCGCCAACGCTATGTTAATGTGCCGTTTCATTAGTTCATTTCAACGAGCACAAAATATTTACTAAATGTCAATATTAGAAATATTCACAACACCAAAATGTCAATGAAAAATTTTTAATTTAATTTTAAGTAATCAAGGACAACTATTTTTTCACGTCGAACATATGTTTTTGTTATAAAAATGTTAAGATAAATATCAAACATTCGTAAATATTGTAACAGCGTTCTTCGCCCACCTTGGGGTTTTCCCCAAACATACGTGTACAGATTGCGTTATCTGTCTATGCATGTAACATATGTATATACATATGTATGTATTGTATTTGTTTATGGTGGTGCATTTAAAATACAAATTCAAAGTTTATAGTTAATTTAAGAATGTTTGTCAAATTAAAAGATAATTTATCTCGTGTTCACACACACACATACACACACACATTTACATTCATTTCTATTTAAGCAGAAGACAAGCGTTGTTGTTCAAATTATGAAAAAGCAAGTTAGTTACAGAAATGTTATTATTGAAATATATGTATGCACATGTGTAAATGCATATGTTAATCAGCAGAGATAACAGTTTTTTTTTATCAAAACAAATACAAAGTTCATAGTGTAAATAGTAACAATAAGTGCAAATCATGGAAAGAAATATAGCAAAAAAAAACAACAACAACCAATGAATATAAAAGCAATAATAAAATAAATATTAAGAAAAAAAATTGAAATTAATATAAAACAAATATTATTAAAAAAAATATTTTAATTAATTCACAAATAAATAAAATGAAATAATATAAATAAAAAATAAAAAATTATAAAATTTATTTTAAGTAATTCACAAATAAATAAAATAAAATAATATGAATAATAAATAAATTAAACAAAGTAAATGAAATAAAATATAACTAAATTAAATACAAGAAAACAAAATGGATAAAATGAAATAAATTAAAATAAAAAAATAAATTAAAAAAAACGAGTTAAAAAAAGAAATTAAATTAAAAACAACAAAATTAAGTAAAAAAAAAAATAAATTAAATAATAGAAAAGAGGAAAATAAGTTTAAATTTTAATATATTTTTATTACATGACTGAAATACATTTTGTTTACTTACATGAACTTTCAGTTATTAATTTAATTGTTAGTATATTTTTATTGTATCTTTTACTATATTATAAACACGTTCTTTGTCGCCGTCAACCGTTTAACTATGTTTGCAGATGACTTGCACTTCACTGTCAATAATATTTAAGGAAATACAAAGCCGGAAAATGGTTTTTTTCTTTTTGTTTGCTTTTTATTTTAGAAAAGAACTTAAATTATCACACTTTTACTACTATAATTCAATTATGAGTAAAAGCCAACATTGTAAAACGATGCACTTGACTCTGTTGAGTTTTAGATAAAAGACAACAGTTTTTGCTGTTTTTGAGATCTCTTGTTGGTAATTATTTCATTTTATTTGCTTTTAGATAACTTTTTCACACTTTCATAATTTCATTTAGTTGTGTAAATGAAATGTTATAAAAAGCATAAAAAGACAACAACAATAACTACGTATGCAAACAATAATAATATATTTTGTATACTTTTTAATAGTTTATTTGTGTTGGCTTACTTTTTTTGTTAATTTTCACCAGCGAGAAAGGAATTATTTAAAATAATAATTTTTTTTTAGTTTATTTCTTTATGTTTTTAAAGTTTTTATTTTTTTTTCATTTAATTGTAATCTCTTTTTAAATTCAATAAAAAGGATCGCGCATTCACAAACGTTCACGCAACGCGATTGCTTTTTTGCCCGTTTAAGGTTTACTTTTTTCCTTTTCGTCCTTTTATAGATATAACCTACTATATATGGTTTATAACTCTGCTTTGTCAAAGTTTTTTTTTTTTTTTGTCTTCCCAACTGATTCTTAATGAAATGCTGCGCGCAATTTATCGCGTTGTGTTGTTGATATTAGCGCGATCGTTTGGTGACTGATATCGATACAACGGTGTTGGCAAAAATTATGACTACTCTCTAAGCTACGTTAACTGCTAAGCTTGAAGCGTTGTTAAATATCCAGTAGCGTTGCTTTAACACAAATTGGCTATGACTTTACGGCAGCTAACAGCCAAAGGTGCCGATGCTGTTGATGCTGTCGACGTACAAAGCAGCGCAGCTTCGGCCGTGATGTGCATTCGTTCGTTGGTTGGTTGAACTATTGAGAAAAAGTGAGAGATGGGCTGCTGCTGCTGCGTTAGCTTATGAATGAATGAATGAATAATGTGTGAGCTGATGAAGGCAAGGTGTTTGCTGAAGTTAAAAAGTATTTTTTTTTTTTTACTGGCGTTGTGAATTTCCATTTTTTTGCACAGTGCTTAAGGTGAGGGGAAAAATGAAGTTTCAAATATTTACGTCTAAAAATAAATTATTAATTTTATTTCACGTTTTGGCTATTCTTAATACAACACTGCGTATACGTAACATTCTTGTAAATTTCGATGAAGTGCTATTGAAAATTTTACTCGTTTAGGTTAATCACAGTAGTATATAGGTCGGCTGATACGCTTGAAAATTTCCTTTGAATTATAGAAAATTTGTGTTTAATAATAAAAAAAAAAAATATTAATTATTTTTGAATTTATTGTTCTACCAAAACATCGAGAAGCAAATTTTTGTTTGTTTGAATTTACGGTACTTAATAAAAATTTCAACAGAATTGCAGAGCCCATAATATAAACTTGAAATTCGATTATCGATTTTTGATAGCCAGCAAAAAACGGAAATCAAAATCAGCTCATAATAAAAACAATATTTAAGACGCAGCGTGATCTTCTGCCATACATATTTCTAGACGTTCCCAGCAAAATTTACATTGTAAATTTGACTGACTAAAATTTATATTTTAATAATTGCGGTTACCAAGTTTTAAGCGTATTAAAAAAAAAAATAAAATATATGTATATCTCTCTAATTAAGTAGACACATCTTAATATAATATGTTCAGGCTTTATAGATTTCATTTTCGAAATACTTAAGACAAATTTTGTCAATTCTTTCATTTTTTACTTATTTTTCATTTTAAAAAACACTGTATATCGAATCTCCGCTACATTACAACTTATATTGTACATGTAAATATGTAGGAAAAAAATAAAAAGAGCGCTAAGACAACAACATGTCTTACTAGGTCGTTGTCATCTCTCGCTCAAAGAAGGAAAAAAAATTGAGAAATAATTTGCTTTGGCGCAACGCAGACTGGCAGCAAATTAACAGCAGAAATGTATAGCAAATTTATATGTGTATGGCAAAGCATATACATGTGTATAAATTTTTGTTGTCGGTTTGTAAGACTTTTTTTGTTTTGTGTGCGCTCATGTCCATTTAGCCATTATCAATAATAGTTTGCTGTAAATATATGATGAATGTAAATAAGCTGTATATATGTACATATAACAAATTTTTATTATTATTTTTTTCTCAGCAAAATGAGTGTAATAGTAGTTTTTAATTTTTTTTTTGCTCTTGCGCTTTTCTCATCTTTCACTCATAACGCCGCATGGTTATTGGTTTTGTTTTGCTGGCTATATTCGCGTCTTTTTCAAAGCAATTACAGGCCTGAGTGTGTAAACATGGAAATTTACACACATATTTATATGTATGTACATATGTAAATGTATAAGTCAATTTATAGACTTGGCCAAACACCTTTAGTGAGCAGCGTTGTTTTCAGCCTTCTTTCAAGCACACACGAGTATACATGTATATGCATATGTGTGTATGTACATATGCAGAAATATTTGCAAATATTTAAATAGTCATGTACTATCAAATTTGTATATATCCACTTATTAGCGCTGCATCATTTAAAAATTTAGCCTTCTCTGTGGGCCAATCAATTGACCGTTCAAGCATCTCTGGCGATTAGCAATCAATTGATCGATTACTTGACTCGACGAACGATTGTTGCAACGAGTGTCGGTTAGTTAGATAGGCACTTACCCAAGTAGGTATTAGCTGTTGTTGTTTTGTTTGCGCAAAGATAAGTTTGTTATTCAAATACATATACAATAAATATATATGTATAATGTATATAAAAATGTTTGCCTGTCTGCACGTGTAAATATGTAATAACTGTGCCTGCAGAGAGGTTGAGCGTCACTTACTGTTGTTGCCTTTGCTGTCACTCGACGCTCGTCGCTCGTTGCCATATTTACTATTTAGGCGCTTCGCAGTCAGATCAGGTTAGTCTGCTGTGTTTGCACGTGAATGGCTTTTTTTTCTTCATAATTTTTTTCCTTTTCAACGTATCACAGCAAACATGCACATACTATATGTATATAATACTTGTGTACATACACACATACATACTAATACTCAAATAAGTAATGCACTTTTACAAGAGTGTGCAGTGGAAAATTTTTTGAATGAAACCATTCAAGAGTAGCTTAAGTGCTTTCTGAAGCGCACTGTAATAAACAGTAGCTGTCGCTGGTACTGTTGCTACTGCTACAGTGGCACCAATCAATTGACCATTATTGACGCTTTAAAAGAAAAAATTAAAAAGCAAAATTGGACAATTAAATTGTCTTGGCAAACATGTGATTGCATTCTTTTGCTACTCGTTTTTCATGCGCTGCTTTTGATATTCTATTTTACTGCTATGTTCGTTCGCTATTTGATGTTAACAGTCTTTAGTGTGTTGTTGTTCAAGCCTATGCTTCAATATGTTGTAAAATGTTAAGTATTTAATTTCGTATGAAAATCGAATTTCAGAAAAAAAACGTTATTTTGTAATAAAATGTAAAAAGGTGGTGATGTAAAATATTTCGTTGCTCGTGCAGTTTCAGTTAATGGAAAATTTTTGCTGTTGGAAACACATAGCCTTACCTTCTACATACTCATATGTATGTACATACATGCAAATAAAGTGTGAATTGAGGGGAAATTGTTTGTAGGGATTGATGTGAGAGACTCCTTACTCGTCGTTATATTTAACGACTGGGTTAAGGTGAGAAGAGCCGAGATAGCGGCGCGTTCCTGTGAAAAATGCATGCACGTGCATGCATAGAAATGATTGTTGGAGTAAAGTGTACTGGTGATTAAAATTTTTTTTGGTCTTGACCAATAATTTTTATTTCATCCATAAGCAGCATACATACATACATAAATATTTCCGCATAAAGTTTATCTAGTGTTCCGTACGTTAATTTAATCAATTATTTTTATTTATTTTTTTATTGTTTGTGCCAAATGAGAATAATTAAACGGATTCGGCTATACATTTTTTTAATTTTTTTTTTTGCGAAAATCAATCGATTTTTAGTGAATTATTAGAAATTTAATCACTATTGTGTATTATATATGTACATATATATTTATAATATATATGTAGCGAAAACGTGCATATATACGTATATAAAAAATGAATACTAAAGTGTTTAGCAATTTTTAGCATTGAAAATGCCGCAATATTTTATTTTATTAGTCTACACATATAAAGCATTTTTATTGATAAAAAAATTTTATTAAAAATAAATTGGTATTTGTACATATGTAAATAAAAAATAAATTAAATTACTAAAATGATTTAAACTTCCAGACAATAGTGAGAATTGATGAATTTTGTGTTAATTATACCAGTTTGTTGCAAAAAATCTTGTTTTAGTTAACTAAAATATATATTAAAAAATTTATAAATAATATAATTAATTTATAGCGAAAGCTTAATTGTTCTGTAATCATAATCATATTCATGTTAAAGAATTTTTTAATTTAACTAAAGCGTATTAAAAGAAAATCAATGCAAATGTTTTGGAATAAAAATATTATATAACTAAACGGTTTATTGCTATGAATTTTGACTAAAAATACAGAATACTTTCGAAATGTGCTTGACAAACTCAGCATCATTTCAGTTATGACGTTTCTCTGCCATTTAGCATTATTAGTCATTCATGTTTGTTTTAGTTTACGCAGTAACTTGCCATGAACAACGTGACGTAATGATAAATTAATTATAATAAATTGCGCTAATCGTGTTTTATGTTTTATTATTGTAACTAGTGATTCATAAATTTAATATAATTCTTGTGAGCCAGTTTCTCCATGCTGTCAGCTGTCTCATAGCCTGATTTCCAAATTAATGGCACTTTATTACAATCAATATTGTTTTATGTTTTCATAGAATTCTAAATATTTATTCATGGTTTCTACGTCATTTATACTTTATAAAACAAATATTTTAATTATAAAAAAGTTGTTGATTTCAATAAATTTCCACTGTTTTGTGAAGAATGAATGAGTTGTGAATTATTTATGAAATTTTGCAGAAATTCAATATTTACGCTTAATGTTTTCAATGAATGAGTGAAAATAAAATCATTTGGAAATCTTACTCAGCTATGTACATACACATATCTATATATTTGTTGTGTTCGTTAAAAGCTATAATGTGTCATTTACTTTCAAAATGCGTATAATTTTGTGTTTTGTGTTTTAGT